CAAGGGTGACGACCTATGTGTGCACAGCAGAAAACACAGTGGGCTCAGTCAGAGCTATTGGGTTTGTGTATGTCAAAGGTATGTAAAACTCCAGCAGGTGTGTGCTCAGAGCCCAACAGTTCACACAGCCAGCAGCTTTGGTAGTGAAACCAGAATGGTTTGGGTTGGAATGGATGGTAGAACCATGGAAGGGCCTGGGTTGGACCTTAAAGCTCATGTGTGCACAGCAGAAAACACAGTGGGCTCAGTCAGAGCTATTGGGTTTGTGTATGTCAAAGGTATGTAAAACTCCAGCAGGTGTGTGCTCAGAGCCCAACAGTTCACACAGCCAGCAGCTTTGGTAGTGAAACCAGAATGGTTTGGGTTGGAATGGATGGTAGAACCATGGAAGGGCCTGGGTTGGACCTTAAAGCTCATTTCATTCCACCCCCTGCCCTGGGCAGGGACACCTCCCCCCAGCCCAGGCTGCTCCAAGCCCATCCAGCCTGGCCTGGAACACTCCAGGGATGGAGCAGCCACAGCTGCTCTGGGCACCCTGTGCCAGCATCTCACCACCCTCACAGGAAGGATTCATTCCTAATATCCCATCTAACCCTGCCCTGTAGTAGTTTAAAACCGTAACACCCCTAGTATTTGATACCTCATTTATGGCTAGATGGGAAAAATGGAAACAGGTTGAAATTCCCACTACAGAAATTCAGAGACAATTGACCCCAGCCAGCAGTTTCGTTAAGGGTGTTTTCTTTTGACTCTGCTGTTTCTCTGCCATCCCTTGTTTTTCCAGAGCCTCCAGTCTTCAAAGGGGATTATCACTCCAGCCGAATCGAGCCCTTGGGGGGCAATGCCATGTTGAATTGTGAAGTCAGGGGAGATCCACCTCCAACCATCCAGTGGAGCAAAAAAGGAGTTGGAGTTCAGATCAGCCACAGGATCCGACAACTTACCAATGGCTCCCTGGCTATCTATGGCACCGTGGTGAGTCCCTGACCTCTCACCATGGGTTTCTGCCTTGTACATGATTAATCAAGGTATTCCAGATCATGTTGTTTTGAAAGACTGAGACTACACCTTTAATCCACTTTTGTTTTTACCTTTAACGAATGTTGTTAGAATTCAGACTAGAATTAGACTTAGATTATTGAGACAAAAATCCCTGAGAGGGTTGTCGTTCTCTTCAGTAGTCAGAAGTGCTGAATCTACATACTCTGCATGTAGTCATGCCCAGTAAAAAGAGACTTCTGCTTTTGGCCTTAAAGAACCTGAGCTGTACAAAGATAGGTCAGCAGAAAAGCAATTGCAATTCTTCATGTGCAAATCTCTTAGCATCTGAATTCCTAAAATGAATGACAAGACCCTTCCTCATAAACTCTTGTCTTCATTTGGAAATGGCATTACAAGCAATAACTCCCTTGAGTTGGTTTAAGTTTAAAAGAAATAGTTAGATGTTCAGCATTAGAATCATAGAATTTAGGAATTGGAATGGAGCTCAGAGCTCACCCAGCCCCAAGCCCTGCCCTGGGCAGGGACACCTCCCAGCAGAGCAGGTTGCTCAAGGCTCATCCAACCTGGCTGTGAACACTGCCAGGGTTGGGGCAGCCACAGCCTCCCTGGGCAACCTGGGACAGTGTCTCACCACCCTTAGAGTAAAAAACTTTTTTCTAATATCTAAACTAGACTTTTCCTCCTTCAGTTTGAACTCATTACCCCTTGTCCTAACACTGCAGTTAAGGAGCTAAAGGAAGTAAAAATTGGAACAATAATAATGCACAATTGGCTTAATGTTAGTAAAGGCAAAATATTGAGATACTCTATTAACAGTGGAGCTCTTCAGATCCAGGGCATGCCATCTGGCAGAAAATTCCTTCCCAGGAGGCACTGAACTCTTGTCTTGTTCTTCAGAATGAAGATGCTGGTGACTACAAGTGCGTGGCTGCCAACGATGCTGGCGTGGTGGAGCGCAGCCTGACGCTGACACTGCAGAGTAAGGCTCAAAGGGGTGTGAGAACCTCCCCATGGATAGGTGTAGGCAGTGCCCAGTGATGTTTGGAGGTTGGGCACTGTGCTGTGGGTTAAGACTCATCTAATCTTTCATAGAATCATAGAAGGACTTGGGTTAGAAGGGACTTGAAAGATCACCTACCAACACCCTGCCCTGAGCAGGGACACCTCCCACCAGCCCAGGTTGCTCAGAGCCCCATCCAACCTGGCCTGGAACACTCCCAGGGGTGGGGCAGTCCCAGCTGCTCTGGACATCCTTCATCATGAATGTATGAGTCTGGGCTAAGCTGTGACTGAGGTCAAAGAGGAGAAGGATGTCGAGGGTGATTGAGCCTCATCTTAGAAACCAATTTGGAACAGGGTGAATCATCTTCTGAAAGGGCCTGTTTCTCTCAGTCCACTCTGTACAACTGGAATAAGACTCTCAACTTTTAAACTGAGGAAGTTACATGAGATGAATCCTATTTCTCACTGACAATAATTTTTTTTTGGCACAAAAATTATTTTATGACTTTTTTTCCACTAGTGGTAGAATTTCCAAACATCCATTTCCTACTGTAGCCTCAAGCAGCATGAGTTATTACTTATGTCTCAATTGCCTCTGGACGTGATTAATATCATCTTCCTGTTTTATGAAAACAACACATTTTAGCAATAAAGAAGACCATGTGCTCACACAGCTGGGCCTTAATTTCCACTCTGGTCCTCAGATTCCTGCATATTAAAACCAGCCTATTGTTGGTGCTGTAACATGTCTTTGTTTGATGGCCCTTGGGGACATGGTTTAGTGGTGAACATGGTGGTGGTGCTCCATTGATGGTTGGACTCAATGACCTTAGAGGTCTTTTCCAACCTTATTGGTTTTGTGAGCCTGTTTCTGTTTTGCCAGTGGAAGTTCACCAGTAATACCTTTAGTTAAAGTAAACTGACTTAAGATTTCCTTGCACATGTTCTGACCACACTTTTAATATCCAGCCAATAAAAGGCTGTGACCAGGTGCTGCTGCCTGAACAACCCTTTCCCTTCCAGGCCCCCCAGTCATCACCGTGGAGCCCATGGAGACTGTTGTTGAGGCTGGTGCCACAGCAGTGCTGAACTGCCAGGCCAGTGGAGAACCTCCTCCCACCATCAGGTGGTCCCGCCAAGGTCTCGCGGTGGCGAGCGATGACAGAGTGACCATCCTGTCCAACGGCTCTTTGCGCATCGCTGCGGCACAGAGGGAGGACACGGCGGAATACGAGTGTGAGGCCAGGAATCTGATGGGATCAGTTCTGCTCAGAGTGCCTCTGACTGTCCAGGGTAGGTGCACCAAGCAGGGGGGAGTGACTATCCAACTGGTAGTATACAGCAGTCATTGAGATTAAATATGATCAAGATTTTATCTTATTTGTGTTTTATGGGTAAGATAGTTCATTTTACCTTCCTTTCATGCATTAGTTATAAGTTAAGCCTAGTCTGCGATGGGATTTCATTCCATCTGCTCATCTGGCTGGGTGATGCAGAGGGTGTGAAGGACTGAGAGGCATAAATGATGGAGGATCTTGAACGATATCCTGTCCTCAGAACACATGTTATAACTGTGCCTCTGAAGAAAAGCATTTAGGAGCATAAGCAATAATTGTCTCTGACCTGGAGTAAGACATGAAGGCATGAAGCGAGTTGGATTTCCAGCTTTGGCTTCTGAAGAGCATTTTTCACTTTGCTGTGTCAGTCTAAGCGTTCCAGCAGGTTACAAGCCGTGTCCGTGTTCCTGTTGCAGTGCACGGGGGGTTTTCCAGCTGGCTGGCATGGCAGGCGTGCAGTGCCAGCTGTGGTCACGGTGTCCAGCAGCGCGTCCGGCAGTGCAACGCGCCCGTCCCGGCCAACGGCGGGAAAAAGAGCTGCGAGGGGCCCGACACAGAGCGGCGCAGCTGCCACAGCAAACCGTGTCCAGGTGTGTCTGTCACCAGAGCTGGAGTCACTGCATGGTTTAGGTTGGAAGGGACTGCAGAGCTCATCTTGTTCCAACCCCTCCGTGATGGGCAGGGACACCCTCCACTAGACCATCCATCTAGCCTGACCATCCATCCAACACCGCCAAGGATAGAGCAGCCCCAGCCACCCTGGGCA